TCAGCATCAGTCTTTCCAATCAACACCCAGGACTGATCTCCTTCAGTATGGACTGGTTGGATCTCCTTGCAGTCCAAGGGACTCTCAAGAGTCTTCTCCAACACCACAGTTCAAAAGCATCAATTTTTCGGTGCTCAGCTTTCTTCACAGCCCAATTCTTACATCCATACATGACTATTGGAAAAACCATAGCCTTGACTAGATGGACCTTCATTGGCAAAGTAATGTCTCTGCTTTTTAATATGCTGTCTAGGTTGGTCATAACTTTCCTTCCAAGGAGTAAGCATCTTTTAATTTCATGGCTGCAGTCACCATCTGCAGTGATTTTGGAGCCCCCCAAAATAAAGTCTGACACTGTTTCCACTGTTTGCCCATCTATTTGCCATGAAGTGATGGGGCCAGATGCCATGATCTTAGTTTTCTGAATGTTGAGCTTTAAGCCAACTTTTTCACGCTCCTCTTTCACTTTCATAAAAAGGCTCTTTAGTTCTTCTTCACTTTCCGCCATAAGTGTGATATCATCTGCATATCTGAGGTTATTGATATTTCTCCCGGCAATCTTGATTCCAGCTTGTGCTTCTTCCAACCCAGTTTCTCATGATGTACTCTGCATATAAGTGAAATAAGCAGGGTGACAATATACAGCCTTGACATACTCCTTTTCCAATTTGGAACCAGTCTGTTGTTCCATGTCCAGTTCTAACTGTTGCTTCCTTACCTGCATACAGGTTTCTCAAGAGGCAGGTCAGGTGGTCTGATATAGAATTTTCCACAGTTTATTGTGATCCACACAGTCTAAGGTTTTGGTGTAGTCAATAAAGCAGAAATAGATGTTTTTCTGGAACTCTCTTGCTTTTTTGATGATCCATCGTATGTTGGCAATTTGATCTCAGGTTCCTCTGCCTTTCCTAAAACCAGTTTGAACATCGGGAAGTTCACAGTTCACGTACTGTTGAAGCCTGGCTTGGAGAATTTTGAGCATTACTTTACTAGCATGTGAGATGAGTGCAGTTGTGCGGTGGTTTGAGCATTCTTTGGCATTGCCTTTCTTTGGGGTTGGAATGAAAACTGACCTTTTCTAGTCCTGTGGACACCGTTGAGTTTTCCAAATTTGCTGGCATATTGAGTGCAGCACTTTCACAGCATCATCTTTCATGATTTGAAATAGTTTAACTGGAATTCCATCACCTCCACTAGCTTTGTTCGCAGGGATGCTTTCTAAGGCCCACTTGACTTCACATTCTAGGATGTCTGGCTCTAGGTGAGAGATCACACCATCGTGATTATCTGGCTCATGAAGATCTTTTTTGTACAGTTCTTCTGTATGTTCTTGCCACCTCTTCTTAGTATCTTCTGCTTCTGTTAGGTCCATACCATTTCTGTCCTTTATTGAACCCATCTTTGCATGAAATGTTCCCTTGGTATCTCTAATTTTCTTGAAGAGATCTCTAGCTTTTCCCATTCTGTTGTTTTCCTCTATTTCTTTGCATTGATTGCTGAGGAAGGCTTTCTTTTTCCAGCTTTTTAAGAAATCTCCACACTGTTTTCCATAGTGGCTGTACTAATTTGCATTCCCACCAACAGTGTAAGAGGGTTCCCTTTTCTCCACACCCTCTCCAGCATTTATTGCTTGTAGACTTTTGGATAGCAGCCATCCTGACTGGTGTGTAATGGTACCTCATTGTGGTTTTGATTTGCATTTCTCTGATAATGAGTGATGTTGAGCATCTTTTCATGTGTTTGTTAGCCATCTGTATGTCTTCCTTGGAGAAATGTCTGTTCAGTTCTTTGGCCCATTTTTTGATTGGGTCATTTATTTTTCTGGAGTTGAGCTGGAGGAGTTGCTTGTATATTTTTGAGATTAATCCTTTGTCTGTTGCTTCGTTTGCTATTATTTTCTCCCAATCTGAGGGCTGTCTTTTCACCTTGCTTATAGTTTCCTTTGTTGTGCAAAAGCTTTTAAGTTTCATTAGGTCCCATTTGTTTATTTTTGCTTTTATTTCTAAAATTCTGGGATGTGGGTCATAGAGGATCCTGCTGTGATTTATGTCGGAGAGTGTTTTGCCTATGTTCTCCTCTAGGAGTTTTATAGTTTCTGGTCTTACATTTAGATCTTTAATCCATCTTGAGTTTATTTTTGTGTATGGTGTTAGAAAGTGTTCTAGTTTCATTCTTTTACAGGTGGTTGACCAGTTTTCCCAGCACCACTTGTTAAAGAGGTTGTCTTTTTTCCATTGTATATCCTTGCCTCCTTTGTCAAAGATAAGGTGACCATAGGTTCGTGGATTTATCTCTGGGCTTTCTATTCTGTTCCATTGATCTATATTTCTGTCTTTGTGGCTTTCTTATCTCTCCTTGCTATTCTTTGGAACTCTGCATTCAAATGGGAATATCTTTCCTTTCCTCCTTTGCTTTTCGCTTCTCCTCTTTTCACAGCTATTTGTAAGACCTCCTCAGACAACCATTTTGCCTTTTTGCATTTCTTTTCCATGGGGATGGTCTTGATCCCTGTCTCCTGTACAATGTCACGAACCTCCGCCCCTAGTTCAACAGGCACACTGTCTGTCAGATCTAGTCCCTTAAATCTATTTCTCACTTCCACTGTATAGTCATAAGGGATTTGATTTAGGTCATACCTGAATGGTCAGGTGGTTATCCCTACCTTCTGTGACCTTGTTCAAGGTCCATGGGACCTTAACAGTCCATTCTCAGGAAGAAGAGAAGAAAGAGAAATGAGCATGGCATTTTAAAGCACAATAACTCTACCTAGTAGTAAACATGGACAAATCAACAGCCTCATGTTACAAATCAGATTTTTAGTCCTCCTGGGGAGAAAGGACTGGTAAAAAATAGTTTCTTCCTTATTCATACTACTGAGAACCAAGCAAAGCATGAGGATTTGAGTCATTTAATGTATTTGACAAAATTGTTTCTCAGAAATACTATGCTAACTTTCCTACTTACATTGTACAAAAATGACTTTTCTCTGCATTTTCATTATACATTATAGAGCTAATGAATTCTGCCATTTATTAATTGGGTGATTTAACCTCTTTGTGCCTCAGTTTTCTCATCTGAAAAATAAGACAGTGTCTACTTCAAGATGTTATCAGGACAATATGATCATATAGAACCCTTAAAGTAATGCCTGATATGTGTTAAATGTTCAATAAAATACTAGTTATTTTTGTTGTGACTTTTGCTATTAAAACCTCAGCTAATTTCCCAGTAAAAGCTGTATCTCTCATTGTTGTAATTGTACTTAGTCATAATAATATTGAATTTTTTTTCTTGTAGTTAGTAGCTATTTGCATTTTTTTCTTTGTAAATAGTCTGTCCATGTCCTTGGCCCATTATTTCTTAGACTCAACAATTTTCATAGTGTTTGATATAGAATCATAATGTAATAAAGTATTTTAAGTTTTGTCTGATATCTCCCTCAAATATTTTTCTCAGTTTGTAGTTTATCTTTTAATTTTATTCATGATGCTATTAGCTCACTGAAGTCTTTCAATTTATGTTGTAAATTCGACACTTTTCCTTCAAGGTATTTTAGAAGGCTTTTGTGATTTTCAAGTCTAATCCTAATCATATATCACAACTTAAACCTATTTTTCATTTTTTGTGTTGTTTTAGTTTTACTATTATATTCTTTAATCTGAACAGAATTGTCCTTAGTATTGATATGCTAAGGCTATATTTTTAAACCCAAGAAAAGTTTGCTGTTTTTTAAGAGGTCAAATTAAATTTGATGCCTGAAAACTGTTTCATGTTTTTCAAACATGTGTTATAATTTAACATGTAGTGTTTTGAACAGTTAGTGGTACAGTTTTTACACACGGTGATAATCCTAACAGTATACACAGTCATTTCCTAATAATCTGTGTATAACCATTTAGTAAAGTTCACATAAATTGTAATATCTTCATATCAGAACATATAAAACCCAAGAAGGTTTTAACAACATCATATTTTATCTGTAAATAAGTGGCACTGGGAGATTTGGGGAAAAAATAGAGTGGATTTAAATTATAGCCAACTAATAAGAATAAAATATCCTACTTAATATCAATTAGAACAAGCTGGAGAGCAGAAAGCTAGAAATATCCAATTAGCTTTTAAATTGAGCTTTAAATGAGCCTCTTCTACAGGTTGTTGTTTTAAGTCAGTCTAACTCTTTTCAATCCCATGGATAATAGCCTGTCAGGCTCCTTCTGTCCATGGGATTTCCCAGGCAAGAATACTGGGATGGGTTGCCATTTCCTTCCCCAGGGGATCTTCCCCACCCAGGGATTGAAACTGTGTCTCCTGCATAGCAGGCAGATTCTTTACCACTGAGCTACCTGGGAAGCCCAATAGCATAAACCCAAAGTTTGTTATTTTTGTTTGTGCCAAATAGGGAAACAAGCATAAACCTCAATGGGAGAAGAAAACCACACTTCTGTGGCAGAATTTATCTTCCTTGGCCTTTCACAGGACTCACAGACCCAGATCCTGCTGTTTATTCTTTTTCTCATCATTTATCTGTTAACTGTGCTTGGAAACCTGCTTATCATCATTCTCATCTTCACGGATTCCCAACTTCACACGCCCATGTACTTTTTTCTCAGAAACCTCTCTTTTGCAGATCTCTGTTTCTCTACCAGCATTGTCCCTCAAGTGTTGGTCCACTTCCTGGTGAAGAAGAAAACTATTTCTTTCGTGGGCTGTATGACACAGGTCACTGTCTTCCTTCTGGTCGGGTGCACAGAATGTGCGCTGCTGGCAGTGATGTCCTATGACCGGTATGTGGCGGTCTGCAAGCCCCTGCATTACTCCACCATCGTGACCCAGCAGGTGTGTCTCCAGTTGACCATAGGGTCCTGGGCCAGTGGTGCAGTAGTGTCTCTGGTAGATACCACCTTTACTTTCCAACTTCCTTATCAAGGACAGAACATTATCAATCACTACTTTTGTGAACCCCCTGCCCTCCTGAAGCTGGCTTCAGCAGACACTTACAGAACAGAAATGGCCATCTTTGCAATGGGTGTGGCCATCCTCCTAGCTCCTGTCTCCCTGATCCTGGTCTCCTACTGGAATATCATCTCCACTGTGATCCAGATGCAGGCTGGGGAGGGGCGGCTCAAGGCTTTTTCTACCTGTGGCTCCCACCTCATTGTTGTTGTCCTCTTCTATGGATCAGGAATATTCACCTACATGCGGCCAAATTCCAAGACCATAAAAGAGCGGGATAAAATGATATCTGTGTTCTATACAGTAGTGACTCCAATGCTGAACCCCATAATTTATAGCCTGAGAAACAAGGATGTCAAAGGAGCTCTCAGAAAACTGGCTGGAAGAAAGTCCTTTTCTCAGAGGTGGTGATCTTTAGGTTTGACTTTTGGAGGCATGGTAACATCCTTAAAAGAAGAGCAGAATTTCAGTCAGCAGTTATGAATTAGGTCATTTCAAGAAGAAGGATAAAAGTAAGGGACACATTTCAGAAACTATGCCTATAAACATAGAGAAGAAATAGAGGATGAAAAGTTAGGTTACTTCTTGGTTATGAAAAGGATTAAGTGCTATTTTGAAGGCGCTTTTGGTTAATCAGTTAACAGGGACACGTTTGAAGCATAGTCACTGTTGAATCTAAGAGGTTTAAACTGGATTATCCTGAGATAACATCTAATATGAGTTGAATACATTATTTTAACATCAAAGACATTTCAAGTTTGGATGTCCCAGTCAGAAACCTAGGAAAAGTCTGATCAAAACAATCAACATGTTTGGAAGAGTCTTTAACACTAGGATCATTCATGGCCCAGAGCATTCCAGTTGTAAAAAGGTTCCAGAGGCAACGCTACTTCCTAGCTCATGAGGTTCTTTTCTGAAAGCTCTGAAAAATTTTTTATTTCATTGCCCCAAAGTTCATCTATCACAGATTATCAGAGCAAAAGGGAATTCAGTCATCTAATCCAAACATATGTCTGAGGCTTAAACTACTCTATACTATTTCTATTAGTTGTCTATCATTTGTCTAAACAAGAATGATATAGCTAGCTCCCTATGCTCTAGGATCATTCCCTTTCATATATAGACAGTTTTTTACTATTAGAAAGATCTTCCTTCAGTTTTCCTATATTTTCAACCAACTCTCACTAGTTTTACTCCAAGAATAATTTTTCATTATCCTTCTATACTAAAACTCACTGAAGTCAATTTCTATATCTACCCAAATTCATTTCTCACAGCCAATCACCTGCTTGTTCTTTTAAGATTCATTTATCTAACATTCTTTGGTACCCTACATTCATTTGGATCACCTTCCTTTGAATGATCCCAGTTTACCCAATGAATATCTCTTCTGAAAGTGAAATAGAATTAGAATTTTAGAAATTGGAGTTTACCAACTCTAGGCTGGTACCTCCATAAGCTTAGCTGTCTCTACATCTCACCGTGGCTCATCTTCTCTAGAATGGTCAACTCTGGAATCCACTTCAGGTTCTCATCAAATCTTAATCCAAATAAACTGGCTGACAACTGCTTGGGTCTTTTACCCAAACTTTAATCAGTTGCACATTTAGAGGAGATTCCATGGTCACCATTCCACAGTTACCATAAACATGGGTCAGGAACAACATGCCTCAGATTGATTTTGCAGTAGAGTATCTCCCCAGTGAGGAGATATTTAGTAGCTAAAGTTCTTATTTCTTTCATTCATGTATCCATGCAATCATTTTAAAACCATTTATTAAGCTCTTATTTAATTTTATCTTATGCAACTCTGAGTGTATCCAATACACCCAAAGAAATGACTGACACATAATGTGTTTTCATACACATTTTTGCATTTGTTACTATCCTTTTAAAATTACTAGAACTGCACTACAATAGACAAACTCTAATTGGAGAATAAGGATCAGAGAAAACCCCTATTCAAGCTTGTGATAATTTAGGTGATATAGAAAAGGACAAAAATTAATAGTTGAAGTTTGTGATTTGGTTGCCAGTAATGTTCCAGATGAAATCTAATCCAGTGACTGGAGGGAAAAAAAAAAAACAGAAAATGTACACAGAAAATGCAGACACTAATTTGGAGAAGTTTTGCCATGAAGGCAAAGGAAGAAATAAAATATGACTGTGAAAAGTGAGATTGTGGGCTTTTAATTTCCCTTTTTTTTTCCTTTTATTTATTTATTTATTTATTTTAGATTTCTAGTCCCCTTCATTTTTCCTTCAGACTGCTCTTTTTAAAGCTCTTGGTTACTTTAATTTTCACGCAGAATGAAATATTCAGATACTTTGCATTCTCATAATTATTTGATCTTCATTCCTTCAATGATTTCAACCATGGTCATACCTTAAATATTGTCATTGCCAATAGTTGTCATCCCCACTTTCCAAATTGCGAAACCACATAATCCTGAGCAAATAAAATGACTGCTGCTTTAAGGCACTAAATTTTGAGATTGTTTTTTATGCAGCAATGGATCACTAAAGCTCCGAGAGAATCATGCTCCATCCCATTCAAATAGAAGTCTGTGGGGCTTTTTCACATTACCGATGAAAACTACTACCTCTCCTGCTATGGAGGGAGACGGGGATAAAGGACCAAGAAGCTTCTAAAGAATTATAATAAAGATGATGTATATCAGTCAGAGTTTTTAGTAGCAAGTAACAGAAACTGACTATGTATGATTTAAGCTAAAAAGAAAAAATACTGAATAATATTAATCCCTACCTTCAGCCAGAACCACAGGTCTAATTAATTTATCACAGAATGGGTCAGAATCCCATGCACAGAGGAGCCTGGTGGGCTACAGTCCACAGGGTCACAGAGTAAGACACGACTGAAGCAACTTTGCACGCACGCATGCGCGCACAGGTCCGCTGAGGATATTACTGCCATTCAGCACTAGGGGGCGCAGTTTACACAGTCAATACCGTCTTCAGGCTGGCGCAGCAATTCGCTGAATCTGGAAATTGGAATAGTGCGGCTTCCTCTACCGCGGATAGAAAAAAAGAAATTGCTGACAACACAACCTCAACCAAGTGATCAAGGTTAACATAAATAGTGTTAAATCCTGTTGGCAGTATATTCCCTTGAGATGATGTGATGGAAACAGCACTTTATGATCGGAAGATCTTCAAACCCATAACCTCAGTCTAATCAGGAGAAAATTATCAAATTCTCATACATGGGCTTCCTGTAAAATGTATAACCTTTACTCCTCAAAAGTTTAAAGGTCCTCAAAAACAAATCTGAGAGACTGTAACAGCCAGGAGGAGCCCAAGGAGACATGACAACTTAATGTAATATGGTATCCAGAGTAGAATCCTGGATCAGAAAAAAAGGATAAAAAACAAAACTTAAGGAAATCCAAGCAAAGTGTAAAGTTTAGTTAATAATAAGGTATCATTCTTATATTCTTAATTGTAGCAGATGTGCCATAATAATGTAAATAACAACAATGGACTGTGGACAGTGACTGAAGCCATGAAATTAAAAGACTCTTGATCCTTGGAAGAAAAGCTATGACAAACCTAGACAGCATATAAAAAAGCAGAGACATCACTTTACTGACAAAGATCCATATAGTCAAAGCTATGTTTTTTCCAGTAGTCATGTACGGATGTAAGAGTTGTACCATAAAGAAGCCTGAGCACCAAAGAATTGATGCTTCTGTACTGTGGTACTGGAGAAGACTCTTGAGAGTCCCTTGGACAGCAAGGAGATCCAACCAGTCAATCCTAAAGGATATCAACCCTGAATATTCATTGGAAGGACTGATGCTGAAGTTTAAGCTCCAATACTGTGGCCACCTGATGTGAAGGGCCAATTCATTGGAAAAGACTCTGACGGCTGGGAAAGATTGAGGGCAGGAGGAGAAGGGGGTGAAGGAGGATGAGATGATTGGATGGCATCACTGACTCAATGGACATGAGTTTGAGCAAACGCTGGGAGATAGTGAAAAACAGGATAGCCTGGCATGCTGCTGCAGTCCATGGGTCACAAAGAGTTGGACACAACTGAGCAACTGAACAAAAACAAGGTCAATAACGGGAAAAGTTTTGGGGAAGGTATCTGGGAATTTACTATCAGTTCAGTTCAGTCACTCAGTCATGTCTGACTCTATGACCCCATGGACTGCAGCACTCCAGGCTTCTCTGTCTATCACCAACTCCCAGAGCCTACTCAAACTCATGTCCATCGAGTCAGTGATGCCATCCAACCATTTAATCCTTTGTCATCCCCTTCTCCTCCCACTTTCAATCATTCCCAACACCAGGGTCTTTTCAAACGAGTAAGTTCTTCCCATCAAGTGGCCAAAGTATTGGAGTTTCAGCTTCAGCATCAGTCCTTCCAATGAATATTCAGGACTGATTTCCTCTAGGATGGACTGGTTGGATCTCCTTGCAGTCCAAGAGACTCTCAAGAGTCTTCTCCAACACCACAGTTCAAAAGCATCAATTCTTCAGCACTCAGCTTTCTTCAAAGTCCAACTCTCACATTCATACATGACCACTGGAAAAACCATAGCCTTGACTAGATGAACCTTTGTTGGCAAAGTAATGTCTCTGCTTTTTAATATGCTATCTAGGTTGGTCATAACTTTCCTTCCAAGGAGTAAGTGTCTTTGAATCTCATGGCTGCAATCACCATCTGCAGTGATTTTGGAGCCCCAAAAAATAAAGTCTTACACTGTTTCCACTTTTTCCCCATCTATTTCCCATGAAGTGATGGGACCAGATGCCATGATCTTAGTTTTCTGAATGTTGAGCTTTAAGCCAACTTTTTCACTCTCCTCTTTCACTTTCATCAAGAGGCTTTTTAGTTCCTCTTCACTTTCTGCCATAAAGGTGGTGTCATCTGCATATCTGAGGTTATTGATATTTCGGCAATCTTGATTCCAGTTTGTGCTTCATCCAGCCCAGCGTTTCTCATGATGTACTCTGCATATAAGTTAAATAAGCAGAGTGACAATATACAGCCTTGAGGTACTCCTTTCCTATTTGAAACCAGTCTGTTGTTCCATGTCCAGTTCTATCTGTTGCTTCCTGGCCTGCATATAGGTTTCTCAAGAGGCAGGGCAAAGTCTAGACTGGGTGCATCTAATTGGTTAAGTCCTAACTTCAGTGCAGACAAAGGCAGTTAATATCAGATGTATTCAATTTCTATGAACAGAGATAGGCTCTAACTCTCCACAACACTCAACAGAAGACTGTAATTATAGAAGTGAAAGTGAAATTCGCTCAGTCGTTTCTGACTGTTTGCGACCCCATGGACTGTAGCCTACCAGGATCCTCAGTCCATGGGATTTTCCAGGCAAGAATACTGGAGTGGGTTGCCATTTTCTTCTCCAGGGTATCTTCCTGACCCAGGG